CTGCTCTGAGGGGTGCTCACAGAGCTTATAGAGCACAGTAATGGTCATATATCCAAAGTCTCTTCTGTAGTTTCTGAACAAAGGGGGCCATTGAAAGGACACAGGGAGACTCCTGCCAACCTCTCCCCACTTAGAGAAGGCAAACCCAAAGTGTAGTCAGAGACCAAGTGTCCCTAAAGCTGCCTTTGTAAAAGTCCTGCTCAATTTCTAGGCTTAAAGACAGGTAAAGGTTGACATCACCTGAGAATTCCAGAATTGCTGCAGTACCTAATACCTATTGATTTCAATATCTTTCACAGACTCTGGATGTTTTAAAAACTCAAGCAGGTACTATTCAGCCTCTCCTACACACTTTTAAAGCTCTGGTTCAAAGCCGTGTGTAAAAACTCCAATTCAGCCTTTTAAGGCACTCTGGTCTTTGAACATTTTCTCCAAGCCCCAGCTCCAGGTGGTAGCCCTGCCCTTCCATAGGTTTTTGTGTGGGGCTGGAGAGGCAGCAGAAGGTGCTGAATGGCAGAGTCTGGAGCACTGTGGAAAGGAAGGTCAAGGAGAGGCCATTTGCTGGAATAAGCTCCATGTGAAGCAGCTCAACTCCTTTGTTATGTCCACCCTGTCCTACATGTCAGCACTCAGATCAGTTAAGAGAGTGTGGCTGCAAAGAAAAAGGAGAGTTTCAGCTTCAGTGTGTTTCTAATGCATCCCCTTTAAGAACAAATCTCATGTTGTGCCATGTTCCCCTCTCAGACACTGAGTGTCTCAGTGCCGTCAGAGCCAATTGCAAGGACCTGCTCTCAGTCACTTTAATTAGAAACTGAAATGCTCCCAGAGGAAGATTTGTTACCAGCTAAATCACCTTTCAGAAAGAGCTATTCTTCTCCACTCCCCACAGGAGTCCAGACATCTTGTGGCTCCCTCAGCCATGGAAAGCTGGATGTGCTTTGCTGCAAGCAGTACTCAGGCTCTGAAATTTTTAATTTTCTTTTCCTGGACCATTTTGTCTCCAAGAGCACTGCATGCATTGGCATCCTTTCCTGGAAAAACACAGTATTTAACTGCAGTGCCTGATGAGTTTGATCAGTAGCTGTCTCAATAAAATATGCAAATACGGAGTCATTTCAATCCAAAGCACCTTTGAAGAAAAATGATAAGATAAATGCAATCAAGTCACAATTACTTTTATTAAGTGAGCACACTACACAGGCTCAGTAAATATGATTAGTTCTAAATCTGCCTGCACACAGCTGAAAAGCAGAACAGAACAAGGTGTTGAGTACAGTCGTGACATTGCAGTAGGGTTCAGTTTCCAAGAGCTTCAGGTACTGCATACTTTGCTCTTTGCACTACTGCTTCTCTTGTCATGATTCAGTGCTCAGGTCAAGTATAAGTATAACTTTTTTTCAGAAGGGGGTTTGGCAGCTGAGCATGTCTAATGAAATTATTCAAAGTTAAAAGTGTAATTTTTTATTCATCTCTACTACTCTATAAAGGTGATAAAGTGTGATAGCTGAGATATTGATCTTTGCTGATGAGCAAGGGGGTGGGGGGGGTCATAATTCATCTGAGGTGAAGCCCTCTGGATGCTGGTGCTCCTGCCCTTAGCTGCAGGGAGTGGAGATCAGCTCTGTGCTGTGGGGACATCCCTGCTGAACATTTATGGCAAGATAAATATTGGATGCTCATTATCTCTGTGAAGAGCAGGTGTTCTTTCCTGTTTCCTCTTTTTCTGATGCACTTTCTGTTGTTAGAAACTGTGTATGAAAGCAGTGTTCTCTCTGAATTGGAGAAAGTGAAATGAAGGTCCTCTTTTTCTGGCATGTTTTCACATATACAACAAACAGGTGTGAATTAGCTCTAGGCCAAACTCTAACCTCTTTTTCAGGTAAAAATCTTAACTAGGCCAGCAGTAATACTTTGTGTGTTTATGTTTAATTTGGGTGTGATTATAAGACTATCTGTCCCATCTATGTGGGTTGTCCTTTAGAGGTAAACCATACCTGAAAAGTTTTCTAACAAAAAAAAAAAAAAATCAAGAACTGTACTTCTACATCAGGAAAAATATCTGATAGATTTCTCACTATTGGAAATTATAGATATTTCTGAGTTGCTTCCAGTACTGACACTTAAGTATAACAACAAATATAAGTTTGCCAAATGCCTTACCATACATGGGTTTTGAATATCAAAAAATCCAAGTGGAATTCCTCCAGCTTGAAACAGCCAATAAAATTAACTGTCCTAAAATATTCAGGCATGTTCAATCCTGCTGCACTCATGGGTGATCACTGAGCACCTACCTGGGCTGGACTGGTTTCCCCTTGATCCCAGCAATGATGGCTTAAGTCATCACTTGCTTGTCCTTTCAAGTTGCTTAACATTTCAAGAGATTTAATTCAACACTCAGGGACTCCCAAGGCTGTAAATTTTTAAAGTGCTTTCTGGTTCTATAACTCCCCACTTAACAAAGTCACAACTCAGAAGTGTTTCTTTGCATGTGCAGTCCTTGCATGAACTCAGCAAGGTTCCACTACATGTTTAAAATGTAAATGCTGTCCTGAGTGGCTAAGGACAGGAGCTCCAGTTTAGAAAAGCATTTGTGCATATGGTTAAACACTTCTTTTTAACCATGTGTTACTCTTCCTGGCCTTACTGGAACTGCTTCTGAGATGAAAGCTAATTGCTGAGGAAAATATCAGTGTGGATGCATATATGTTTCCAAAATTTGGACTCCACTGAAATCAATGAAACCTATAATGTTGACTTCAAAGGGTCCCGAATTTTACCCCAGGCATTTTATGGCTTTAGAGAACTCTATATCCCTGTCAAATATGTTAATTGCATACTTTATTTATTTAGTTGTTATTGTTTTCTCTTATAGTAAATTTCATGCAGTCTAGGGAATTCATTCACTTAACCATATTGCCTTCATTATTCTTGTATACCTCATCTCTGTGTGCTTCTTCAACTTCAAACCACGCTGGAAGGGAATAGTTTTAAGATTCATACAGCACTTTATCTCTCAATGGAGCCTGGGATGATATGTTCAGTTCCTACTAGCTTTTATTAAGATGTTACAGTTATGCATCAAAGCTTGGGGGGAGAGGTTCTCAATTATGAATCTGTTTCAACCTTGCATGGTCACATAATTGATTCCCTAGGATTTGTTTAAATTTTAATGTAACTCTTGAAAAAAATGCTGTGAAATTTGTTTGAAAGTCTTCAGTCCATATCAGCACAAAAGTGATGAATTAAAATGATAGATACATATGTATATATTAGTGCCATAAGAACAGCAACCTTGACAATTTCAGTGTCCTGGATCTTTAGATACTTTGGGTTTCTGATAACCCTGTGTTTTGCCAGGTTCTTGCTGGTTCCTTTGTCACTCCTTTGTTACCTGTTCTTGAAGGCAATGTACCTTCTCCACTTTGTCTCCTGGCACAGTTCCCTCTTGTCACTCACTGCAGAACTTTCCAACTTCTGTAGTATTTTTTCAGAGAAACACATGAACTTTTCATTGACTGAAGGTCAGCACTGACTTGGAGAACAGATGGAGTGTGGAAGGATGAACCATTGCCACCCACTGAGCATTAACACCTGCTTATTTGTTACATCTGTCCACTGCAGCTCAGAGGCTCCTGAAGATTTTACCCAAGTGATTTAGGACTTGCCATTGGGCTGAGTGCAAATGCTGTCTGTGAAAGAGGTGTTTTTTACCTTTTTACTCAGGCTGCACGTTCTGTGGGCTTTGGATGGCAATTAACTCCACATGCTTAGACTCTAAAAGGCACTGTGAGTGTCTTGAAAGGCTGCTGCAATAAAATTTTTTAAAAGAGCAACATTGAGACAGCTCTGAATGCAAAATATGAATGTTTTAAAGGCACAGATACATTTAGGATTTATGTTTATTTCATACAAAAGTGTGTTTTCTCATCCATGAGACAAACTGCACATAACATTGCTTTCTTTGGGACTTCCAGAGAAGGTAGAATAAGAATAGTTTGTCTTCATCTCACCAGCTCCAAGTGAAGGGCATTTCAGCCACATAACCAGGGAGGAAATTTATGACTCTTTTTCTCCTGCCTTCTGTTTGTGATGAGAGACCTGTGTCTTGTATTTCTGCAGTAGCTCTCTAAGAGATGCTCACTGGGGACTGCTGTGACACTATATCAGGAGTTATTCCTGTGTTTTTTAGACTCTCCCCTGGATCTGGATACTTGTATTTGAAGTGGCCAACTGTAGTTCAGTAAGAAATTAGACAATTCATTATTGAACTCTCTACATCAGGAAACAGAAAAAGGGTAGTACATACCTTGAAAAAAAGAAGGGAATGAATAGGTGGTTTTCGTGTACCAGCTGAATCTTATCAGAATATGCAATATAATTATCCTTGTTACCATGTGCTTAAAATTAGAAACATATGAACTTTATGGAACATAGTTTATTGGCCTGATCCAAGGTCCATTGACAAGGGAGAGTCCTGCTAACGTTCTTTAGGGCTCGTGCACTCAAGGACAAAATTCAAGAAGAATAGTTCAGAAAAATAACATCTTGTGTATACTAATCCTAAATATGATGTAATGAAATTCTAAACAATACAAATGGAAAATGATATATATTATAAAATATAAAAATATAAAATGATATATATAATCATTGATATTATATATAATATAATATAATTATATAATATATATAAAATAATATATTATATAAAAATGATATATATTATAAAATTATGCATTTATTTTCCTATTTATCAAGTCAAGGATGTCCTGAGCATCCTTGTTGCAATCAGGGTGAGCAAATCACTTGTCTTTTGTTCAGAAGCTAATCTTTATTCCACGTGTATCTGAAATGATTTTAAGTAACTGGCTCAGGCCATAAAAAGCTAGCCAGATGTGGCCATAATGACAAGTTTCCAACCTTCTTCCAGGTTCTGTGAAATGATGACTCTGCTGGGATATAACCAACATTCCTCTCTGGTTTTCTGCAGGTTGAGACACAGCAATTCTAAAGACATGCATCGGAGGCACGCCACCCTTCGGGAGAAGGGCCGGCGCCAGGCCATCCGGGGCCCTGCCTACATGTTCAACGAGAAAGGCACCAGCCTCACTGCCGAGGAGGAGCATTTCCTCGACTCCGCAGAGTATGGCAACATTCCCGTCGTGCGGAAAATGCTGGAGGAATCCAAAACCTTGAACTTCAACTGCGTCGATTACATGGGACAGAATGCCCTCCAGCTGGCCGTGGGGAACGAGCACCTGGAAGTGACAGAGCTGCTCCTCAAGAAGGAGAACCTTGCCCGAGTCGGGGATGCCCTGCTGTTGGCCATCAGCAAAGGGTACGTTCGCATTGTGGAGGCGATCCTGAACCACCCGGCCTTCGCGCAGGGACAGCGCCTCACGCTCAGCCCCCTGGAGCAGGAGCTGAGGGACGATGACTTCTACGCCTACGACGAAGATGGAACTCGCTTCTCCCACGACATTACCCCCATCATACTTGCTGCCCACTGCCAGGAGTATGAAATCGTTCACATCTTGCTTCTCAAAGGTGCACGGATTGAAAGGCCCCATGACTATTTTTGCAAGTGCAATGAATGTATGGAAAAGCAGAGGAAAGACTCCTTTAGCCACTCTCGCTCAAGAATGAATGCCTACAAGGGATTAGCCAGTGCTGCTTATTTGTCTCTGTCCAGTGAAGACCCTGTCCTTACTGCTCTAGAGCTTAGCAATGAACTGGCCAGGCTAGCCAACATTGAAACTGAATTTAAGGTAACTCACCACTGTGCCTTTTTCCTTGGGCTGAGAGTGCTCAGGCTGTTGAGTAGTTTACATGTTTGATCAAATTTTGGGCTGCTGTTTGAGAGGTGGGGGAGTAAGACTGGCAGAGACTGCCAGATGTGTTAGCTATGCATAGATTCAGATCACTGTCATTCTCCAGTTAATAAATGCTTGGAACTGAACATTGCATATTACAGCAGAAGCTTAAGTTTCTGTGTTGCACACTGTGATTGCTTAGAATCTCTAGTTTGCAGCAGGAATAAAAATTAGATTGTTCAAAAAATGGAGACTCGTTTTTTGTAAGAAAGGTAAGTCTTTTAATTGAGCAATCTATTTTAGAGGCAGAGTTCTAGAGACTGTTTTAAGAATCCAGTACATCTAGTTCTGCTACAATGATAAAAGGTATAAATCAAGAAAATTTGGTTCTCTGTAAAATAATTTAAACTGCATTGCATCTTAATGGTTTGGTGCTGCATCTATGCATGATGAATTGCATGAAAAAGGAAAAAGAGAAACAATCAATAAATAGCTATGAAGTTTATCATCATGCCAAACGCAAGAGTAGAGCTTGTGGAACTCTCTTACAACTTATTTGAGATTTCCATTATCATAATGAGTTTGTAAATGTTCAATGCCATTTGCAGTATTTCTGTATGTCATTTACATGATGTAAAGAGCATTGTCTCCCTTTCTAATATAAATTAGTCATTAAACCCCTCATTTTCAGTGGCTCAGCCATCAACATTAGCCTTTTTTCTGACATGGCTATTGTGCTGCTACAATCAGGATCAGTGACTCTGGGGTAATAAAGTCCATATTGTGACTACACTGGGGCAGGATGCTCACCAGGAATCCATCATTTCTAATTAAGAAAACTATTCATGTGTTAAAGCATCTTTTTCAGGATTTGTAGCTCTATAATACGAAGGACTGGGGAGATCACCCCCCTGCACCAGGCCCTGGTGGAGCTGCCTTCAAACCCAGGTTCAGTTTTGAGCCCCTCACTCCAAGAAAGAGTTTGGGATTTCTAGAACAGGTCCAGAGAAGGGCACAGAGCTGGGGAAGGGTCTGGAACAGAAGTTTGATGAGGAGCAGCTGAGGGAGATGGGGGCCTCAGCCTGGAGAAGAGGAGGCTCAGGGGGGACCTTCTCAGTCTCTACAGCTCCCTGAGGGGGTTGTAGCCAGGTAGGGGTTGGTCTTTTCTCCCAGATAACAGGCAACAAGAGAAACAGCCTCAAGTTGTGCCATGGGAGGTTTAGGCTGGATATCAGGAAAGATCTCTTCACAGAGAAGGGGGTCAAGCCCTGGAAGAGGCTTCCCAGAGAAGTGGCTGTGTCACCATCCCTGAAAGGATTTAAGAGATGTGCAGATGTGTCACTTGGGGGCATGGTTTAGTGGTGGCCTGGGCACTCTTGAGTTTACAGCTGGATCTTAAAGGGCTTTTCTGACCTAAATGCTTCTATGACTCTGTGCTCTCCAATTTAAAAGTAAGAAGAAAACATATTCTGGGCTTTGCAACCCTTTAGTAACTAACAGGAAAAAATTCCCAAACCACTGAGATCTTCTGGGCAATAAAATCAGGGTAAAATTTTGCAATTTCTTTTTCCCCATGTACATCAGAATGCAAGGACACAATAACTTGAAGGGGAAGTTTTATTTGGAATCAGTCTGACTGAAGCAACCTCCTTGGGCTCAGTGAATCCCAGTGCTTGAGTGAGGGTTGCTCCAGTGTGAAAGCACTGGAGGCTCATGGCCACACTTAACAACAATAATATCTCATTAATGCTCCAGCTTCATTTCATAGACAGCTGTGTATTGAGAGGAGCATGAGCAGCCTCAAGCACTGTGTGCCTGTCAGTCCTGATAAGTGTCTGGCTGCAGAAAAGTAAATATATTTCTACCAGAATCTTCTCTTGCACGAATCCTCCAGGAGCAAACCAACAATCCAATATTGAAGAGCTCCATGGTGGTTATATCTTTGCACTGGCAAATGGATGTGAACAAATCAATACCAGGAAAAAACCCCAAAACATTAGAAACCATTTGCCAAATGACTGCATTTCCAGGTTTTCCAAGTTCATTGTCTTGTTGGAAGGGTCTGTGCAGCACACATCCATAAATGTTAGTGAAGTACCTACCCATACCATAAGTTTGCTTCAAAGATTTCACATTCCTTTGCTATATTAATTCTTCCAGAAATAAGAAAGTTCTCGAGATTCTAATCTATTCTCACTCTAGCAAAAAAAAAAAAAAATACCCCCAGAGGTATGTATTTATGTAAAAATATTTATTCTTATTAACATAATCAGTGTGATGTGAAATAGGGTATTAATAAAACAGTGGGGGGTTTTTCACAGAACATGACAACTTAAGAATTTATTTTGAGGAAAGAACACAATTGCTGAAAACATGTTTAAGAAGCCTACAAATTAAGAAAATTTATGAAATTAGACAAGTTCTAAAGGGCTTTTTTTGTGATTAAAATAGAATTTTCCCAGAAACTTAATATGTTTGATTCCTAAAGTTCTATAATTAAAATTGGTACTCAAGAGATTTATAAAATTATCACTCAGGATTATTTAAGAACATTATTTAAAAATTATGTGCAATTGCAGAAATGCAGTTTTCAGGAGGTACAAAGAGTCCTTGAAACGGAAAGACACAAAATTTTAATAATGTAGGTGGACAAATAGTAATTTAGTAACCTCTGAAGAAACTGCTAGCATGAGCTAATTAAAATATAAATGCAGTGCCTCTCTCCTGCTGCTTGCTGCCCCAAATCTCTTATGCAATAGCACCTTTCAGCACATCAAAATGAGAAGCCAATGCATGTGCTATTTTTTAAAGAACATTAAATTTTTTAAGCAAGTTGCCTCTTTGTGCAGAGAAATGTGAAACAAAACAGCCACAAGGACCACTTTAAAGAAGAAAACTTGTGTTACCTGTGGTTGGCCAATTTATCCAGTCTTTCATTTTTTTACTGTGGCAGAAACTGAATAGATTTTTATCACCCTAAATTGCTAAGATTCAGTAATATGCTGCAAAGCTGATGAAACAGCTTTGCAAAATGTTGCCAAAACCCAAATTTTTCTTATTAATTGTAGAAAAAGAAATTGCTATGAAATTTATAGTCCATTAGTCTAGAAATGAATATGACCCCTTCTCCAAAGTAAAATGAAAAATATGGAACCAGTTGTTTCTATGACAATACACATAGAAATGGGGTGGGTGGGAAACCCCTAAGAGACAGATTTCAGAAGAGAGAGAAGCAAACATCAGAGTCCCTGTGTATGTGTGCAGGTCTTCAAGCAATGATATTTCCTGTAGTGGAGGCAGCCCAAGCTGAAAAAGAATAACCCTAATTCAGTGCTTTGTCATTTTTGTGTATCCCACTTGAAAGCTCTAAATTAAGAACCAGTTCATTACTTTCCCTCTCTTTCTAGTTTTAATTTTGTGTTTTAAGAAATGAAACCAACATCCACTGGAGCAAAGGCAGTACAGACTGGGGGCCTCATTTAGTCCAGTGGATGGGTCCCTTCTGTATCACCCTTGAAACACAGAGAAAGAGAGGATCCCGTGTGGATTGAAGGGTTCCAAGTGACCCTGCCTCTGCAGAGTGTAGGAAAAACTGGGTAGGAAACTGAGGGGCACCTCAAATCAAAAATCAAAAGTACAATTAAAGCAATTATAGGACAAAGTTAAAGTGCTTTGTAGTTTTCCACAAAGGGACAAAACCAGATATTAGGCTAATGATATATATGTGAAGCTGTTTTGAGGGAGAAAGCATTTATTGTCAGCCTAGCAGAGCTAGGTTCTCTCTAGTCCCCACAGGAAGAATTCTCTCCTCTCATTCTCCCCTCTTGATTCAAAAAAAAAAAAAAAATCTCGGTACATTCCAATTTCTTTAAAAGCTTGCAGATCTTGTACCTCAGTCATAAAGCACACAATCCTTGTGCCATCTACAGAGGATTCTGTTTGTTTTGCTCATATAAATAAGTCTGATGTCAGTTGCAGTGTGAATAACACAGCCAGGGTTTGTCCATCTGGAGCAGGCAGGCACCCCTGAGCCAGGCTGAGGAGAACTGCTCTCCCCTTTGGTCCAGAGGAATCCATCTCCCTGAGTGCATATGCAGATGTCTGCAGTCACCAGCTGGTCACAGCCAGGTGACTCATTGCCAAGGCTGGAATATTCAAAGCAGTGTCAACAGAATTGTTTTTATATGTCTATCAAAAGCCTTAGGAGATTGAATTTCTAGCAAGCAGCCTGCAGGAAATGCCTTTGCAACTGTCTTAAACAGCAGCATCAGCTCAATACTACTGTCCACAGTGTGGAAACAGAGTGAAACCCAGAACAAGAGCTCTGTTTACTTTTCCTAAAGCAGTGACTGTGGGCTCCTTTTTCTGGTGAGATCCCACTCCACAGCCAGGACTGTTTTACAGCCTTGCATGCTCTCAAATTAGACCACGTGCTTGTGTGTGTCAGGAAGCATCCTTGTGATGAAGTAAATCAGGCAAATCATTCCATTTAGCAATCCAGACAAATCAAATTAGAGACTCACAAAGGAGGCTTAGAAAAAATTTCACCAACCATAAGCAGTAAATCAGAGCTCAGCTCCTCTTGACTAAAATGTTACTAAAAGCAAGATCAAAATCACCACCTGGAAGACATATGGTGTGTGGTCTTTGTTTACTGCTCCCACCAACATTGTCAGTGCAATTACTACAGCAAAACGTGTTTTGTTTCTCACTTATGTGTTTCTTCCTGTCTCTTTTCCCTCTAAAACACTTTCTCTACAAGCTTTTGGGATCCAAAGGCAGGTCCTGGCAGTGAGCCTGCTCTCATGTGCAGGTGAGCATCAGGTGCAGGCTCAGGAGCTGGGAGAGGCTGTGGGATGGGAGGCTGGTGGGGCAAATCCAGTGTGTGGATACTGCAGGGATGAGCCTGAGCTGCCTCTGCTTCCACTGGGGCTGCAGTGATGGAGAGCAGCTGA